TGCCGTTTTCCTAGTGGCTCTCGGGGAACCTCCTGCTGCTACTGCCACTGCTACTGTCCATCTGCCTTGGGATACGTATTGCCTGCTTGTGCGGTTGCTTTGCGATCCGTGCGCGATTTCCTCGTTTTTCTACCTGTGCGTATGTAAGCCGTATCAAGTGGATACGTATATGCATATGTGTGTTGTGTCTGTGTATTATGTATATATGCAAATAAGCATATAATACATTCTCTCTCTCTCTCTCTTCTCTCTCTCTCTCTCTCTCTCTCTCTCTCTCTCTCTCTCTCTCTCTCTCTCTCTCTCTCTCTCTCTCTCTCTCTCCTCTCTCTTCTCTCTCTCTCTCTCTCTCCTCTCTCTCTCTCTCTCTCCCCTCTCTCTGTCTTTTTATCTCACAGTAATTTGTTGTCCAAACATTTTTCAAAACACTGTAGCTGTACTGAATAACATCATGTATTCTTGCGTCTTGCATCAATATGTTTTGCATTCCTGCGATCAGAAGAATCAACTCTCTCTTCTTTTAGAAATGTTCTCATTCCTTCTTTATCGTGTTGTTATCCTTTGCCCCGTCATCTCAGGGACGTTCTGTTTTGTCTAGGGAATTCAAACTTTCCTCATGTTATATCTATAATTCTAGTCCCTTCTCTCTTTTCATTAATGCGCTCACACATGTCCGCATGCGCCGAGGACACTTAAAAAAGAGGGAGAGGCAAAGGTATATTATATTATTATATATATATAATATATATATATATATATATATATATATATATATATAGATATATATATATAACATATATATATATATAGTATATATACATATATACATATATACATATATATATATATATATATATATTATATATATATATTATATATATATATATATATATATATATATACATATATAATATATACTTATCATGATATCATATAGCCAGAGAAATGCAACCGTAAACTGGAGCACGACGTCGCAGAGTGCATGCATCACGAAACAGTTGATATGAGACGGTTTCTTGTGGCAAAGATGCCGCTGTGTGACTCATTTACGTCTCAAGTGTGACTCACCTTAATTCTGACTCAGTATGAGTCTCCCTTGGCCACCCTGGCATGGCGATGCTGGACACAAGTGGCAATTTATTAATCAGAGGCGACGGGTGCCCTCACCTCTGGCCTGCCTGTGGCCTGCCCGCATCGCCGTCGCAAGCACTCCGTACATGCGTTTTGTTTTGGTGCGCTCTCTCTCTCTCTCTCTCTCTCTCTCTCTCTCTCTCTCTCTCTCTCTCTCTCTCTCTCTCTCTCTTCTCTCTCTCTCTCTCTCTCTCTCTCTCTCTCTCTCTTCTCTCTCTCTCTCACACACACACAACACACACACACACACACACACACACACACACACACACACACACACACACACACACACACACACACACACACACAACACACACACACAATCTATCTTTCTCTTCTCTCTCCACCTTCTCTCTCTGTCCGACTACTCCAAAATTTGAAAAGGGTCAATCTAAAACGCCTGTCGTAACCTCTGAAGCATTAAACCTCCATAAAAATATAAGAAAACAATGTCGCAACTTTCCTCCATTTCCAGCGCCGGCGTTTGCGATTGAAAGTTTCTTTTTTTTTTTTTAAATGAGCGTTATTACGTTGTTGTCCGACATCAGAAATCACTTATCCTAAAAACGGTCTTTTCCGCACTTCGGACTTTGAGATCGCCGTTGAGAATAGGATATTTGTGAGAGATCAAAGTTACGGTTTTATGGACGGGGAGCGTTGGTGGGGGGGGGGAGGTAGAGGTAAGGGGGGAAGGCGGGGGTGGAAGGAAGCGAAAGAGGTAAAGAGTTGAGGGTAAGTGGAATCGATTTCGGAAGTGAAACCGAAAAACAAAAACAAGATGGCGGTGTGTATGGAATTAGGTTAAGATAGAAGGTGAGAAAGGAAAGGAGAGGGAGAAAGAAGGAGAGGAGAAAGAAGGAGAGTGAGAAAGAAGAGAGAGAGAAAGAGGAGAAGAAAGAAGAGAGGAGAAAGAAGAAGAAGAAAAGAAGGAGAAGAGAAAGAAGGAGAGAGAGAAGAGGAGAGAGAGAGAAAAAGGAGAGAGAGAAAGAAGGAGAGAGAGAGAGAGAGAGAGAGAGAGAGAGAGAGAGAGAGAGAGAGAGAGAGAGAGAGAGAGAGAGAGAGAGAGAGAGAGAGAGAGAGAGAGAGAGAGAGAGAGAGAGAGAGAGTGAAAGGAGAGAGAGAGAGAGAGAGAGAGAGAGCAAAGGGAAAGAGAAAGAGCTAGAAGGGCGATGGAGACGAAGACGAAACGCATTAAGCTCCGGCTGTAGGGCAAAGGTAGAGCTTTCGCTTCCTCTCCGCCGCTCTCGTCGGCTCATATCCCCGGAACTCGCATTTTCGCACGTTTCGCATCTACCCCTCCCCTCCCCTCCCCTCCTCCCCTTCCCACAATCCCTCAACACCCCGACACCCTTCCCCCCACCCACCCAGCACCCCTGCCCCTTGACCTCCCCCCTCCCCGCACTCCCCCTCCCCCGCACTCCCCACACCCCCTCGACCTCGGTGTGTTATAACTCCTGCTTCGTCTGCATCGCCCCACGCACGCACATGCACTCACCATTCGCACACACGCACATGAACAGTCCGTACACACAAACACATTTCCTGTGAACGGGAGAATGAGCGTGGACTAGGTAATGATGGAAGGAAAGATGAAAGGGAAAAGCGATACGGAAAGATTAAATGGATGAGGATGGGGGAACAAAGAAAGAGGGAGAAAGAGAAAGACGGAGATAGGGAGAGAGACAGACACAGACAGATAAAATGAGGGGCAAAGGGACAGAGAGAGTGGGGAAGGGAGAGAAAAATATAAGGATGTTATACTGTATATTTACCCGAGCAAACAATATGAATATATAAGTGGATATGTGCATCCGGTGTTCAGATGGAGAAAAAGTAGATAGCAAGAGTGAGATTGACAGGTTGTGCGGTTATTTTGAATGTAAAAATATATAACAACGGATTTCAAGCACGGGAGCGCGTTCCAACATTTTCCCATGGTTCGCCCTTGAAAGATGACACTATCATGTGACTTGTCACTGCAACTATTTTAAAAAAGGTATTTTTTAATCTATTTTTTACTTATTTTATTGTAATGAGAATGGTCAACCTAATGGGGAGACTTCCAAATTTGAATTGCTCGATATCCGACTGGTATTTTATGAATGATAGTTTCACTTTTTCTCAAAAGCCTTTCCAAATTTACATCCGATATTTGGGATTTTCGCGACGAAAAGTGGTTTAGGCGCCCCGGGCAGATTTATATGAGTCTGTCCTGAAAGCTCCGTATCTGCAGTATTTTACCCGTTTTCTCTATTGCCAAAGTTGTGACGTCAGATGAAAATCAGTGGGAAATTTTATATCGGCGCTAACCATTTTATTTTTCTATAGGCAAAAAAATATTATCAGAATACGTTATCGCTGGAGTCATATTATCTGATTGATGTATGGACAGTTTCGTTCAGAAACGATGTTAATGCGATCGTTGACACTGCGGACATACAAAGGACTTTACATCTTAATACCAATTGGAATAAGTATTGTAAAGTTTTTGAACAAATAAAGTTCGGTTTACTGGAAACACTGCAATATCAAACTGAAATTGTTTTTACCAGCATTAGATATGTTGTCACATGGAAAAAAGCTTCGGTGTTATTTATGTTACATTTGAAGTAAACGTAACACGTACAAGACAGACATCCATAGATAAGAAAGAATTATTGTTATTATTATTATTGTAGTTTCGTTTCTTGCGGCGACTTAGCACTTGTTGGTATTTCCATCATCCTTAAATCAGGCCTGGTTTTACCTCATTTCGCCCCTGGTTTCAGAAGTTGTTGATGGATTCTACTTGAGTGAATTATATTGCCAGCTCTATCACTATAACTACCACGATAAGAGTTTCGTTATGTCGATGAAAAAATCACCTGGATTCCTGGAAAAAAATGTGCGTTAACGATGTTTACAAAATCATTTTTTTTACAGCATTCCGACCAGAGAAATAATAAAATTCGACTTTTTAAGAAATCCCGGAGGAAGATATTAAAGAGAAAGAGATCTCGACAGACAGAAAATAAAACGAAGTGGGGATGGGATTTGGGAAAGACAGTCACGAACACGAACTCGAAATGTGTAGAATGTGAAGCCGAATGTGTCGAAGTGTGAAAAAGCCGTTAGGGTGCAGGAGGGTGTAGCCCCTCCCACCCCCCACCCCAGACAAGCACACTGGGGCTGGAATGGCGTGGCTGCAAAGGCGGTGGACTAGCCCGGGCTGCCTGCTTTGTGTTGTGCCAATCTAGCCGTCCAGCCGTTGTAGGATCTGGATGCTTCTAAGGGGATCCGATCAGCCTGCCGAGGATCCCATAAGCGTTCCAATCAGCCGCCATGTTGGGCTCACTGCGGAGGAAAAGGAAGGGGAAAAAGGTATTTGGACTCGGGGAGGGAGGGAGGGAGGGAGGGGTAGGTGGGAGGGGTGGCATGAATTCATCTCCGTCGTCTGGCAGCGTACAGTGTACATGATGGCATGCTCGCGGTGTTCGCTAGGAGAGCTTTCACGTTTTATTGCCGGTCATTAGACCTTTACTGATTGTTAGGGATTTTTAATTGATATGCTGTATAGCTAGGAAGACTAGGGCCTTGTGAGGCTAAAAATGTGTAGCCCGTCTCGCGCGTCAGGCGAGTGGCCGGTCGCACAGCACTTCAGTCTTGAGGATTTGGGAAATGTCTTTAGGTATTTAGGCATTGTGAGGCCTTCTGGTCCTTTGTAATTTTAAGAGAACCTAGAGTTCAGATAATGTTACTTTATTGTTGTAAGTTAGGTTGTTGCCCGCCCTGCCCTGCCGCCCCCCGAGGACGAATGGGCAGGGCCCGGCGTGGTTGGGCCAGCCATTAGCAGTGTTGTTCTTGTAGGAGGCGGCGAGTGAGGCCCCGCGGTCCTTTACCGACCCCGCCCGCCAGATCTTTTACGAGCTCCGCGCAACAGCCGCAAGACCCGGACCCAGGGGTCCCTCTTCTCTCCAGGGCTCTCCTCTCTCTCCCCGACGTCGCTCTCCCGGGGGCACCGCCCCTCCTTCCCTCCAGCCCAGTCCTACCCTCACCCGCCACGCCGGAGGGTCACCTCTTCGGCAAGACCCCGGGGAGGCAACTGGAGCGGCAAGTCCCGCAAGGACGAGCAGCCCCGGCCAGCTGAGGCGCGGAGGGGGTGCTGGCCCCACACCTTCGCAGGGGGGATCCCCGCGGGTCTCCCAGAGGGAGTCATCGCCGGCCCCCGGGGCAGCCTCCCTAGGCACAGGCGAGGGGAGCAGAGCAAGTGCCCCTCGGGAGAGCGAAGGGGTTGGCCTCACACGGATACATCATGCCCCGGTAAGCTGACTGCCGAAGGTGGAGGTTCACGTTTGACGGCGCGCTGGCTCAAGGCACACCTGCACGCCTCCTCTGGTACCCTCCCCCTCTCAGCTCCCCGGCAAAGGAGGCGTCTCCAGCGCTGCCTGGCCGATGGCGATACTTTCCCCTTCAGTGTTTCCCGAAGAGGTGGCGTGCAGGGGTGCAATGAGGGCGAAGCAAATACAGAACAGGGATTACAACTTCATGTGGTGCTCTGTGGGTCCTGCTTTTTGTTGCATGTGGCGTGTGCCAGGCTGCTCCGGCTGCTAGTTGAAGAAAACGGAGTATTTGAAAGGGGAAACTAAGTTGTAGTAATTTTGTTTGATATATTTTCGCATGACAATAACACAGCATGGGCTTTGCTTTATTAACACCTGCATTCTTTTTTTATATTTTTATTTTTTGTGTATGTGAACTTAGTACCATGTTGAATGTATTTGTTGTGTGAATTATGTATTTATTTGATTTATTACAGATCGAAACAGAAAATAAGGTAAGTCAGATATACATTTGTTTTGGTTTCTGGATGTGAAAATTTCAAATCGACGACACGTGCAAAGAAAAGATACAGCAACATTTTTCTTTGGTCAGTTTTCCTTGATGATGGTTGACGAAGAAAGACAAAAAATGAAGGTTTGAAAATTCTCTCTCTCCCTCCCTCCCCCTCCCTCTCTCTTTCTTTCTTTCTTTTTTCTCTCTCTCTGTATGTCTGTCTGTCTGTCTCTCTCTCTCTCTCTCTCTCTCTCTCTCTCTCTCTTCTCTCTCTCTCCTCTCTCTCTCTCTCTCTCTCTCTCCTCTCTCTCTCTCTCCTCTCTCTCTCTCCCTCTCTCTCCCTCTCTCTCCCCTCTCTCTCCCCTCTCTCCCTCCCCCTCCCTCTCTCCCTTCCCTCTCTCCCTCCCTCTCCTCTCTCTCCCTCCTCTCTCCTCCCTCTCTCCTCCCTCTATTTGTCAATTTTCCTCCCCTGCTGCTCCCATCTCCTCTCTCCAAGTTCTCCCCTGCAGTTGTCACATCACGATGGAATATGGGAAAAGCTGTCAAGTTTGTATTGGCAGAGCCGCCTGACGTCACCATATCCACGTGACACTTGGCCAATATACGTAACAGGAAAGTAAACGGCGGAGGTTGAAGGGCGGGGAGGGGCGGGCGGGGATTAAGAACAGATTTTTAATAAGGCTCGACGTGTTATGGATGTCTGACAGGGGATTCGGATGCGGTGTGTCTTCTGACGAGGGAGGAAGGCGTATGAAACTTATCTATTTAGTCTTTTTCTTTTCGAAGGAAGGGGAGTGTGGAACGGATGCGTCGCTGTTTTTTTGGGGTGGTGGTGGGGGGGGGCAGATAGAGGGTTGATTAATTTTATTGAGGAATTATGTTTATGTATGGATAAGAGCTTGATATAATGGTGATAAGAGATATCGCATTCTTTACCCAAGGGATCGGGGATGCCCTGCAGGTTGTGGGATATTCCGGAAGTTAATGAGTAAGATGGAACAGTAACCATAAGACATAGTAAGAATGGAATTAGATATATCCTAATGCAGCGATAGCATCTGAAACAGTAAAGTTAGGGAGATTAGTTTAAAGCAGATATATCTTGTAGCGTGGCTTTTCATGACGAAAAAAATGACCAGTTGCTGATCTTTCACCTTTGCCTCTACGCTATTGACCTTTGTGCATTCGCAGCTAGTAAGAAACCCAGGCCGTTAATGCACCGGAGTATTTTAGCTGTTTAGCTTCGGCGCCGCATTCCTCCATTATTATTTTATTTCATCAGTTTCTCGGCCTCTGCGCTTGAGTGTTGAAGCGGCCAGCGCGAGACAGTGACCAGCGCACCAAAAAACAAGATATCCGCGAGGCATGCGTCCACAGCATCGACCCTGCGCAGTGAACGCGCTGCGACGCGAGCAAATGCTAAGGCGACAGAGTCGATTTAGTACGAGACGAAGCAGCAAGAGCATGCAAACGAGAGAGCGAGAGAGCGAGAGAGATCGGACGAGAGAGAGAGATGACGAGCATATAGAAGTAGACAGAGACGAGAATCAACCTGCCCACCCTAGCACGAGGAACGAGATTGAAGATGAGGAGAAAGTAGGCACGTGACTCGGGCGAGCGAGACGACGAGAGAGAGAGAAGAAAGACCTATAAAGTACCCGACGAAGAAGCGACACAACTTACATCCAAATCCTACTCAACCGCAGCCGATGAATACGAAAGCAAGATCGGTCTAGCTCAACCGTTCTGTTGTGGTCTGGATTGTGTGATACATTATAACCTGACACGAGAACAATGCGTCTCCACCACGGCTCAGATGTCGCCAATTTTCGTTTAGTCTTTTGTGTCTTCTCTTTCATTTCTTCTCTCTAATATATACGTATCACTACTACCTTCATCTGTCCTCTTCTCTCTCATCCTCTCCTCTCTCTTCTACTCGTCTCTCTCTCTCTCCTCCTCATCTCTACCTTTCCTTCTCCTCTCCTCTCTACTCTCTCTCTCCTCGCTCTCTCTCTCCTCCTCTCTCTCTCTCTCTCTCTCTCTCTCTCCCCTCCCTCCCTCCCCCCTCCCTCCCTCCCTCCCTCCCTCCCTCCCTCCCTCGCTCTCTCTCCCTCCTCTCCCCCGCCTCCCCTCCCTCCCTCTCTCCTTCTCTCCCTCCCCTCTTCTCTCTCCCTTTACTTCCTCTCTCTCCTCTCCCTCCTCTCTCTCTCTCTCTCCCTCTCTCTCCCTCGTCGCCCACCGCCCCCTCACCCGCGCAGCTCCGTCTCCATCTCTGCTGCTCTCTCTCTCCTCTCGTCCTCCTCTCATCTCATCACCACACTCCTCTCCTCTTCCCTCTCCCTCCCACCTCTCCCTCTCCTCTCCCCCTCACTCAACCCTCCCTCACAACCATCTATAGAAAAGCTTCCTGCCTAAGCTGGAAGCAAAGAATGACTCACCCCATCCCTAGCTTTTCAGAATTGGTTCTACTTGTTGGTTGTACGTTTCTTTTCTTGGTGATTTTTTCACTTTTTGTCTTTTTGTGGTGAAGTTTGCGAATATATATGTTAATTCTGTACGTTTTGTGCTGACATATGTGTTCCCATTTGCATAGTATGTTTACACATAAGAGCCAGTGTATACATGTGCATACAGCTATGCGCGAGTAGGGATGATGGGTATGCATGCGTGTAGAAATAGTGCTTGTGTTTCCATAGATGTTTGTATGATTGAGCGTGCGTATGTGCATTTCATCACGCACGGACACACACACATATATATACAAAAATACGGATACCAATATACCCGAAGAAGTAAATATAAAAAACAAAGAAACGTACACTCGTGTGTGTGTGTGTGTGGATTAAATAGATGGATTAAATAGTGTATAGGATATAAATATTTAATGCTGTACGGGAACAGAGTGGTTTCGTGTATTTGTGTATGGGTATGAATGCGTGTACAGAGGTTAATGGGGATGGTCTGCTGTTCTCTCTCACTCTCCCACACCCCCCCTCTCTCTCTCCTCTTTCCTTCCTCCCTCCCTCTCTCTTCCCATCATCCATCTTTCCATCTTCCCCCGCCCCCTCCCTCTCTTTCCTTCCTCCCTAGCTTCTCCTCCCTCCCTTCTCTCCTCTCTCCTTCCCTCTCTTCCTCCCTAGCTTCTCTCCCTCCTTCTCCTCCTCCGTTTCCTTCTTTACCGGTCCGCACCTTGCAGGATATGCGCTTCCAGGACCCGCCCTCCTTTCTGCCGCTATCCTCTTTACCTGGGCGGTTGTTTTGATGGACTCGGGTTCCGCGCCTTCTGCCGCCCGCCGCTCGCCTCGCCCGCTCGGACATGTTGTCTTAGGTCCTGGGTCGTAGGAAGTGGGCGGCGCTCCGTCCGTCTTCGATGGGGCTGCACTGGCGAAGGATCTCTCAATCGCCGAGTAGTCCGAGGCGCTTGTGCTCGCGTTTTCTCTCTTATCTTCATCTTTTCTTTTATTTCTCTCTCTCTCTCTCTCTCTCTCTCTTCTCTCTTCTCTCTCTCTTCTCTCTCTCTTCTCTCTCTCTCTCTTCTCTCTCTCTCTCTCGCTCCTCGGTCCTCTTCATCTCTGACTCTCTTTCCTCTTTCTCCTCCCCTCTCACCTCTCTCTCTCTATTTATCTATCCTTTCTCTTTTTATCTCTCCTCTCTCCTCTCTCTTTATCTCTCCCTCTCTTCTCTAATCTTGTCATCTCTCGCATATCCTCTATCTCCCTCGCCCTCCCCCCATTCTCTCTCTACCTCTCTTCTCTTTTTTCTCCTAACCTCTGTTTTTTTCCCCCTGACCTCCCCCATTTTCCTCTCTCTCTCTCTCTTTTCTTCCCCCTCATCTCAGCAAGAGGGGGGGGGGGAAGAAGAGAGAGAGGGGGGGAAATGAGGAGAAAGAGAATATACGTAGCAATAGGACTTAGTTTGATCACTTCCTTGTGATCAAGGGGATAGACGCAAAGACAGAGAGGAAAAGACGAAGAAGAGGAATATGAGGAGACGAGAGTGAGGAGCTGGCGAGAAAGTGAGTGAGTGAAACTGTCCTCCGAGTGTGAGGGACGGAAGAGAGAGAGAGAGAACAAGAGAGAATCTCGAACCCTGAGAGAAGACGAAGAGAGAGAAGAGAGAGATCTACAAGAAGACCCCTGAGAGAGAGAGGCACATGAAGAGAGATCTTTCGACGAAAGAGAGGGGAGGGGGGGACGTGAGAACGAGAGGTATATCTGAGAGGGAGAGACGAGAGGAAAGGGAGAGAGAGAGAGGACAGGGAGAGAGAGAGGATCACGGCGGAGAGAGAGAGGAAGGAAGAGGAGAGAGAGAACTGGGATAGAGAGAGGAAAGGAAGGCAGAGAGCAAGAAGAGGAAGTGGAGAGAGAGAGGGAATGAGAGAGAGAGAGGAAGGAGAGAAAGAGGATAGGGAAGAGAGAGCCGACATCAGAGAAGCAACGAGAGACAGAAGGAGAGAGAGAGAGAGAGGAGCGAGGAGAGAGAGAGAG